AAAAAAGAAAAGTGCATACCATACATCTCCACGTACAATCCTCGAAACCCAAATTTGACCAATGTACTCCGAGATAACTTTGCTCTACTGAGACGTAGTGAACGAATGAACAAAATCATTAGTGAAACAAAGTTCATTCCTTCAAAGTGCCAACCACCAAGCCTAAAAAAGATGCTAACAAGAGCAAAATATGATAGTCTCGAAACAGAGTATGCGGTAACAAAATGTGGACGAGGAAACTGTGGAATGTGCGATTACTTGATTGAAGGCAATTCTTTTAACTTGAATAATTTTTCATTAAAAATAAATAGTAGTATGACATGCTCTGTCACATATGTAGTATATGTAATTACATCCCTTGGGTGTAATGAATTATACATTGGATCCACAAATGAATTACGGAAGCGTGTGACAGTACATAAACAGCATATAAAAGAGGAAATATACCGCAAAATCCCATTAAGTGAGCATATCGCGGAGTGTGCTAAAAATAAATCGCCACATTTTCCCCTTTTATAAACTGTCTGATAATAATATCACAAAATTAAGAGTTAAAGAAGAGTATTTTATAAACAAATTCAAACCCAAACTTAACCAGTGATATTATTTCGTTTTAATTTTTATGAAAAATTATTGTAATTATCTCTCCATAATGACGCTACATAATGACGTAACGCCATTATCTATTATTGCCTTGAAAACCTAACGGCGAAACATGTAGGCATTTAAATAAAATTTCTTTAATGGTATTTTCTATTTAATCTTTTAGAATGTATGATATCCTTTTACGGTAAGCACCCTTTTAATATATATATATATATTATAGCTACATAGCAAGTTTCATTTAAATTGGATGAAAACTATATTCAATTCAGTAGCTATTCTTGTGACACTATCCTGTGTCTCGCCAACCAAAAAGGAATTAGCTGTGACACTATCCTGTGTCTCGGCAACCAAAAAGGAATTAGATGTGACACTATCGGGACAGATGAGCGTCTAGGACCTGCATGGATATCACGTTGTTGGATGACTTATTTCAATCATCAATTAATTGACTCTGGAACACCGGTTATGTTGTTACTAAGTTTATCTAACGAATACAGCAAACTACAAAGGTTACATACACGAAACTACAATATCTATGATAGTTACTTTTTGAGTTATTAAATTATCCAGGGTCTGAGTTTAATATCCTTTCTAACTCAGACCTAACGGCTTAAACGTGGCAAGAGCCACATACTTCTTGATAGTTCTACATAACATACACGCTAGGATGATGTGTTCACCCTAACCTCTAAGCCGAGGAGGCTATAGGTATGTTCCCCTTGAACTCTGAATGATTGTCTGAGGGTAAATCAAACCCGCTCTTTCCTATATAGAAAATGTAATGCGTCATCTATTAGGGCGGGACAATTACCATATTTGGGTAAGTGTTTCATATAGGCACCGTTTAACGTCAACATTATTCTATTTAATTGGACTAATAGTACCCTACTTTCCAGAAATGGGTACTGACATAAGTGTCTGTGAGTTAGACTAAGATAGTAGCAAAGTAATGCAAGCTACTTCATTACCCTAGTTTTTGTCACACATCATGTAGGTAAAGATTTCTATATTAAACAGAACACTTTTCTTAGGCCTAAAATAACCCTATAGTGTTATAATGCGCCCCTTTGCAATGCATTAAATAAGCAATGTTGCTTAATTAACGCTGTTATCTAACAGGCATTAAATACAATACAATATCAATACTTTAAAGCTCTGAATATGTCCATTACAAGTCCTAATTCTAAAATATCATTACACCGATAAACATGCTACAATAATATAATTTCACTGCTTCAATGTCAATATAAATATGCGGTTATAGGGTTCCAACACAATAAAAAAACACTGTTTCAATGTCAATAAGTTAACTGTTTCTAACACTAAATAATTTCATGTCCTGATTCTATTGTTCTGTTTCTTGCACTGTAAATTTGGTGATCCTTTAAGTTAACACTTCTGCAAACTCCGCTTCAGAACCATATCTTCTTGCATACTGGAATTCCTCTGTCTGGTTCAGCGTTGCTGTACATTAAGATAGGGTACAATAAATCCCATAAATGACCAGTGTACTTGCTTAATCTGACCACTAACAATTCAATTACATTACCCTTAATTTATAACATGTATTTTAATTGGAGGTGATTATATCTTAATCATATTCTTACACTTAAGTTTATTTAAAATTAAACTTGTATTTACTTCATTGGGAATACACCTGTATTAATCCTTACTTCTATTTACTTTTAACTGAATAAACTATGAGCCCCATTAATAAAAATTAGCAGTATTAATTAGTACTTATCACCTACAGTAATTAATAAATCAAAAATTCATTACTTTACTAACGTTCTTTATCTACTAGTATTACTTGTGAACACTGAACATTTTACCTCATTAGCAAACCAATTAATTACCATGACGGTATCTGGTTATTGTTTAAGACATTCCCTCCTGTGCTGTAAAACCACTGTTAACATTGAGTATATAGGATGGAGATGTGTACCTTCAATGTATAGAAACTATAGAGCACTATCGTCTCTTTCGACCTGCTCCATAAATCAATATTAATTGACAAATATGCCCCTTTTCTAAATACGATATAGATACACCAAGTAAACATCTTAAATGTTTTTGATTTCTAAATTTATTTCTTCTCTAAAATCAAACAAAACAGCATCTTGAAATAGATGTGATCAATATTTATCTCAAGACCAAATTGTTCGCTACTCATGGCTCTAATAGCCAATATAACACAACCGTAGGTTATTATATTCCCTACTTTCAACACCCATAACATATGACAATTTATTAATAATTTCCTGACGTTTTCGTTGTCATTAAGTATGGTTTTACATATACACAACACATGGCATTTCTGAGAACTCAAAATTTATTTGACAGCTAACAGCACATTTGAATCCAAATTTAAATTACCCATTTTACCTTGGTATGTTTTCCCGCTTTTAACACATACTTTGAACTTATTATCTCCTGTTTACATTTTAACAATAACCCAACACGAAAAATCCAGAAACAGTTTAAACCAATGCATAAACTAAGCTAATTGCTATATTGGAAGGTGCACTGTTTCATTTTAAACCATTTATTTAAAACCCAATACCGAGCCACACGCAACTCGCGAATTTACAAAGGACCATTCAGTTTTAAATTTTCCTGGGGCAAACCTTTGCCCTAAACCTACACGCTTTCTTGCGATTTACACAGGTTTTTACAAAACAACACGAAAATCTGGAAACCGGTACATTGCTTATATTGCAGGACCCTGTGTTTCCTTTAAAACCTTCATTAGAACCTTATACCGACCCACATGCTATCCCGCGAATTTAAAAAGGCCATTCAGTTCTAAATTTACCTTGGACATTTTCCTTTACCTTGAACCGAAACGTGCTTACCGCAAATTACACCGGTTTATACCTTAACCTTACCCAGTTAAACACATATATACACATTACTTGAACAGAACAGTACATTACATTCATTTACAAAATTCAAGTCTAAAACAACCCTTCCGAAATGTTATTACGATCTATGCATCCGAATAATTCTTATGGAGTTTTGCGTCAAACGCACAAACCCTCCATTTCCGAACTTTCTTCACGCCTAGACCTGAGACATCATTTATTTTCTTTTACATAGCTTTACCGTTTCAATTTTAGGATCTTTCGTTTCCTTACTTTCATTATTTATTTCCTACGTTTATAGAAAATTACCCATGATTAAACCTAAACCTTACTTCTTTTCCCATTTACTTAGATTTTCTTAATTTAATTATTTTAACGTTTTATCGTCCTTTTTAGCCATTATTTTTAACAAATCCCTAACCTCTAAAATTCCATTAAATCTACCCCTTGGTCTTTTTGGCTTTCCATGGTCAGTTTATTAGGAAATATGTACCTACCTAAAAATGACTGTAAACTTCTTTTTGCAAGGATTTCCTTCAGGGTCGATATCCTTAAGTCATCGGCACCAAAAAGGAAGTAGATGTGACACTATCCTATGTCTCAGCAACCAAAAAGGAATTAGCTGTGACACTATCCTGCGTCTCGGCAACAAAAAAGGAATTAGCTGTGACACTATAATCCTGTGTCTCGGCAACCAAAAAGGAATTAGATGTGACACTATGGGGACAGATGATCGTCTAGGACCTGCATGGACATCACGTTGTTGGATGACTTATTTCAATCATCAATTAATTGACTCTGGAACACCGGTTATGTTGTTACTAAGTTTATCTAACGAATACAGCAAACTACAAAGGTTACATACACGAAACTACAATATCTATGATCGTTACTTTTTGAGTTATTAAATTATCCAGGGTCTGAGTTGAATATCCTTTCTAACTCAGACCTAACGGCTTAAACGTGGCAAGAGCTACATACTTCTTGATAGTTCTACATACCGTACACGCTAGGATGATGTGTTCACCCTAACCTCTAAGCCGAGGAGGCTATAGGTATGTTCCCCTTGAGCTCCGAATGATTGTCTGAGGGTAAATCAAACCCGCTCTTTCCTATATAGAAAATGTAATGCGTCATCTATTAGGGCGGGACAATTACCATATTTGGGTAAGTGTTTCATATAGGCACCGTTTAACGTCAACATTATTCTATTTAATTGGACTAATAGTACCCTACTTTCCAGAAATGGGTACTGACATAAGTGTCTGTGAGTTAGACTAAGATAGAAGCAGGGTAATGCAAGCTACTTCATTACCCTAGTTTTTGTCACACATCATGTCGGTAAAGATTTCTATATTAAACAGAACACTTTTCTTAGACCTAAAATAACCCTATAGTGTTATATTCTCATGCATATAAAGTCACATACCATGTTTCTTACCATGTTTCATTAACATCGCATGTATGGACAGATGGATAATAAGGGATGACGAGCATACATATTTTAAATGTGAACGTATAACAACTTACTCTATCTGTTGTTGACTGTTGATATTGTGATGTAGGTATTGGTAATTCTTGTATATAAACATCATCTAATGTTAACTCACTGTCTATACCATTTATACCATCTGCAATTATTATTACACTCATTATTATAATATTCAATGAACATCATCCTGTACCTCACACATTTAACTAAAACAATTTTTAAAAATATTTCCAACTAGCGGCAGCCAGGCAAGATATGCCCACATTTTGCAAGAGATGGACAGAGAACAAGCTAAAAAAAAAAACCTTGATTTTTCGTACAAACAGGGGCCATAATCCAAGAAGTTATGGTCTAAAATGTGAGAATATCGAAAGGGATTGAAATCTTTGGGATATAAAGATACATTTTAAGTTTCATCAAAATGGGACAAAAATTGTGACCTCTATAGGGTCCACAATCTTCATATTATATACATAAGGTGTAACGGTGATACATTTAAACATTTTTTTAAAATTGGATAAAAATTGAGGCCATAATTCAGGAAGTTATGGTCTGCATGATCTGCGCAAATATCAAAAGGAACCAAGATGTGTGGATTATAAACATACATTTCAAGTTTCATCAAAATCTGCTAAAAAAAGTGTCCACAACCTTGCTATTACATACTTTTATACAATTTGTGTACAAGAAGCGACCATATTGTTTGGCAGTTTCGGTTAGATTTTTATGAAATTCAAACTCAACCTTCATTGATGTGTAACAGTGATATATTTAAACGATTTTTAAAATTGAATACAAATTGTGACTTCTAGCAGGTTCACAAGCCAAAAATGTGATTTTTCAAACAATCAGGGGCCATAATCCAGGAAGTGATGTTCAGATATATATGCACAATTATCGCAAGGAACCAAGGTCTTTGTGATTTTAACCTAAATTTAAAGTTTCATCAAAATCGGATCAAAATTGTGACCTCTAGAGGGTCCATAACTTTGATATACCATATTCGAACTCAACCGTCATTATTAAAGTGTACCGGTAACGGTGATATTCAAACGTATTTTTAAATTGGATAAAAATTGTTACCTTTAGAGGGACCACAAGCTTAAAACATGATTTTTCATACAATCAAGGGCCATAATTCAGGAAGTTACGATCCGATATGCGCGAATATCAAAAGGAAGCAAGATCTTTGGGTTATAAACATGTATTTCAAGTTTCATCAAAATCAGATTAAAATTGTGACCTCTACAGGGTCCACAACCTTGATATACCATACTATTACACTATTAGCATATGAGGGGCGGCCATTTTGTCCAACAGTTTTGGCCCGATTTTCACGAAATTCGAACTCAACTGTCATTGGGGTGTAACAGCAATATATTCGCACGTTTTTTATAATAGACCGTATTACCCTTTCCACCGCGCTTGGAATTCTGGTAAGGCACAAATGTAAACAACCAAACTGATATCTCGAGCAGACGATCACTTCAGTCTTACTCTTAGCCAAATATAAAATTATGGAATGCAAAATCATTAGTCTTTTTGTAAGAAGGGTATCTTCGCTTGCAATAGAGTAATTTGAATGAAATTTTCAAATTATTCATTTTACATCGTCTACTTTCGAACCGGTGGTACTTTTTACCACCGACTACCGCCGACCAAATGCTTTTTACAGCCGACCAAATACTTTTTACCGCCGACCAAATACATTTTACCGTAATATAATTACCGCCGACCAAATACTTGTTACCGCCGACCAAATGCTTAATGATTCCTTGTTACCGCCAACTATTTTACGGTTGTTTTTTTTTTATAAAAAAGAATACAACAAGAATGTTATTTTTTATTTGAGGTGTAATCATGTACAACTGTCGAAAAACATTCATATATATATTTTACTTTTTACCGCCGACCACCACCGACTACCGCCGACCAAATGCTTTTTACCCCCAACCGTCGTGTAATGACCGCGGACCAAATACTTTTTACCGCCGACCAAATGCTTAATGATTCCTTGTTACCGCCGACTATTTTACGGTTCTTTGAGATTTGAGATCTAGAAATTGACACAAATGGGTTGCAACACATATAATAATGTAATATGAATGTATATAAACTGATTTACATTCTATCGTTTCTGTTTTACTGTAATTTCTAATCAGTTATATTCAGCGAAATACGCCAGAAGTCTTGAGCGAATGGCAATCTCTAGCATCTAGTTATTCCATTCTACACCGATGGTATTTATTGCGCATGCTCTCCAGATAAGAATATGACGTCACCATTTGACATGACTTGTGGAATATACCTAGCCTTGTTTTTCGAGTCCCTTGTTACAAATGACGCTGAAAAGCAATATGGCACATGATTGGTGTACCAATGGTAAAATATTTATTTTGTCTTGAATATTGGATATCAGAAGCCCATATTTTCCCGGTAAGATCACAACATCAATGTTGATTTAAATTGACAAATAATTTGTGTTTTCAATGTTGAAGAATTTGGATGATATTGTTTTAGAGACTTAGCTACTTTAAATGAACCTCAGAAAAGAGGTGAAGTAATATTTTCTTCAGTAATAAAAATCCCTTAAAAGGGTCATTATCAAATAATTAAATGTAGGCCTACAGTTTTCAGTTAGGCCTAACTGGGCTACTAAGCCATAGTATCTCACTGACTACAAATTTTTGATTATTAATAGCCTAATTAGTAATAATAAATGTTGTGTTATTTCTAGATAATAAGGTACGGTAACATTTTTTGATGGAAATTGCTATGTAATCGAATGACTTGAATATTGTTGATGATATAGGAATGATCTTACTTTTATAGGCCTACTCTATTTTTCAGGCAGAACCAAGAGAGCTATGAATAATTACAAGGAAGGAAAAGCATACAGTTATTTTGACAGCAATTGGTTAAATGAGGCTTTCTGTCACCAGATTAATAATGACAGTCCATTTTGCTACCTAAAAGCCATGTGTACACCATCACAGAAAATATCTCACATTCCACATCAAGCTTGGGTAATGGTGCGCAAATCAAGCGGTGAGATTGAATCAGCTAACTGCTGGGTGAGTTGTATTTTTGTATTTAAAAAATAATTCTGTTTCATGTTAAAATTTTATTTTTATTTCATTTTTAAAACTTGTGTGTTCACATAGAATTTTAGTGTTTATGTTCATGTTCATGCCCAACATTATTTGTTATGTAGGCTTATAACTGTTATTTGTTTTTGTTACAGTTGTTAGACTTGTTAAACTGTATTGTTGTGTGTTGGATTAAAAAGTTGACAGAATTTCTTTGCATGTAACCTGTTTGGTAAGTGTTTTGGTTCTGATCAATATTTAATTGTTTTATAGAGTTTTCATTTTTAACGGAGTCTAAAGAACTTGATATAAATTGATCATAAACTGAAAGATAGGTTGCCAGGCAAGGAAACACAAGCCCACAGCAGCTATATCGTCCGGGCAGTCAACAAGAGTTGTCACATATTTTTACTTTTTTCGGTAATGAAACATTATACATTAAAATCTGATTAAGAGTAACAACTCATTAAGTAGTTATCAGAAAACCATTAGAATTTGTTTGGTTTTTATAAAGTTCTGCCCCACGCTAACATTTAGTATACAAAACTTTTAACATCATGGATTTAGCTGTTCAAGTCATAAAGATTCATTGAAAATCAATATACTTGTTTGTCTCAAGACCTTAAACACTGTGTATCAATTTAAAGTCAATCGGATATTAACTTAAGCCTCTAGAGCGTCCACAAGATTTTTTCAAAGTGATCAAGGGCCATAACTCTGGCAGTAATTATTGGAAATCGCTGAAAATCTATAGGCTTCTTCGTCTCATGACCTTAAACACTGTGTATCAATTTAAAGTCAATCAGATATTAACTTTTGCCTCTAGTGCGTCCACAAGATTTTTTCAAAGTGATCAAGGGCCATAACTCTGGCAGTAATTATTGGAAATCGCTGAAAATCAATAGGTTTCTTCGTCTCATGACCTTAAACACTGTGTATAAATTTAAAGTCAATCGGATATTAACTTTAGCCTCTAGAGCATCCACAAGCTTTTTTTTAAGTGATCAAGGACTATAACTCTGGCAGTAATTATCGAAAATCATTGAAAATTAATAGGCTTCTTAATCTCTTGACCTTAAACACTGTGTATAAATTTAAAGTCAATCGGATATTAACTTTGACCTCTAGAGCATCCACAAGATTTTTTAAAGTGATCAAGGGCCATAACTCTGGCAGTAATTATCGAAAATCGCTGAAAATCAATAGTCTTCTTCGTCCCATGACTTTAAACACTGTGTATAAATTTAAAGTCAATCGGATATTAACTTTAGCCTATAGAGCGTCCACAAGCAATTGTGGACACCGGACCGACTAACCAAAACTCATTATACAGGTTTCGGAATTGGAGACAGTTTTTCTCCTGATCTATAATCTATACCCCATGAACCCATGCCATCATTGGGGCCCACATAAATCGTACCTATAATGGCCAGGAGTATGGCAAAGCAAACATGTCTAGGGAATGATAGTTGGGTGCAAATTCTACTATTTTTAACTAGAATATCTTAAGCTTATTCATTCAGGTGATAAAATTGCAGTATTCTTAAACACTCTTCTTTTACTCTTTCAGATTGGGGTCAGCAAGTAATCATGTAGCTGCAATACTTTTTAAAATGGATTTTTATTGGAGAGAAGGTATCACCAATAAAGCATGTACTGACAAGCCATGTAGCTGGAATCGATATGGAGATGAAAAGACAGATTTTTAAACCAGTTTTAGTTTCTGGTCTTAATTTTAGAAAGCCAGGGTTTGGAATGTTCCAAGTTGCTAATGAACCACTCCAAAAAAAGAAAGCGCTTGCATCTATAAATTCTCATGTTGATAAACCTTTTTTAATTAAGGAATTATTTGATGCATTACAGGATTGTTGCCCTCATAATATCGCTTATGAAGTTTCTGTTAGCATGAACTCATTCAAAATAGCAATAATTTAGAAAATATTAAAGCTATTTTAGATCACATGTTTTCACAGGAAGAAATCTGTGCATTAGAAAGGGCAACCCTGGGACAGGCTGATAATGATACTTGGATATTAAATCTCAAATACAG